TGCGTTTGAAATTATGCTATCTCATTTACGGCTGTCAACTGCCAAAATATTCGTGTAAAATGTCTTGTATGCTCGTGTATTTTTCTATATTCATTTGGTCCCGGAATGCTTCTCCTTAACAAATTTGCGTATAAGATTCTATTTCTATTTTCTTTCTTGGCGCAACTGTAACCTTCAGAATCTGCAACTGCAGAAAAAAGTTTCTAAACTCAGCAAACGATACCCAAATATAGAAATAAACACGCTGATAATTATGTGATTATTAATGACGAATTTAATCAATGGCTCTGAAACACCTGCAGTCTGAGAAAATTAGACCGATGATCCACCAGATTCAATCCTAGACGTTGTATTGTCCAAGCTGCGTGCAAGTCCATATTATAATATATGATCCTTGTGATGTGTTTCTGTCCTAAAAAAATTTATTTGTTTGCTTGCTAGTTACAAACAGTAAGATGCCTTGCGTAAGATGGAAGAATCGCGACACAAGCGAAGGATTGACTGACTGATTGTCTGTCTGCCTGATTGACTGACTGACTGAATGAATTACTCACTAACTGACTGTATCAGTAACTGATTGTATCAGTAGGAAATTGCAACGATGTGAACGACCTAGAAGGGCTTATGAACAAACTCCACAACAATCACCGTTCTTCAATCATACGTGCAATTATGCAATAAAAAACGGAAATTTGTCACTACTTTTCTTATTCCTGACAGAAAGACCGTTAATCATCGATAGCAGTTTTGTGTGTGAAAGAAACCATCTTATATTACCTGCAAAACTGCTTATTCTCTGACAAGGTTCACACTTTCTCTGAGTTGTTTTGAATGTGCGATCGCTGACTGACATTCGAGGAACCAGCTAAATGTGAGATAATCATGAAGCCTCACGAATCTTGTGTGCATTTAAGCGCTTCTTTCGATGGCAGTTATCACAAAACATTCTAAGTGCTGAGCAGCAGTTTCACAGTGCGGAGGCATTGATACTGAACAGGAATAACCTTGGTATTCGAAATAATCGTTATCAGAAACTTAGGCTCTTCGTCTTTCTTTGTACGTTTAGCAATCGAATTATAATGCTGTTTTTCACATTTCACAGCACTGTGTTCTTCTGTGATATTCAGGCGTCGAGTTTTACAAAACAGTGTTGAGGGTTAGTTTTGAAGAGAGTATTTGCTACGTTCTTGGCCGTCAGTGGGCACGCTTCAGATATATGGGTGTTGTGTGTTTTCGACCATAACAGTCAAAACATTTTCTTCATTCCAATTTTTTATGTGTGATTGTGATCTTTGTTTGTCATGTTTTTTTTCATAAAGTTTTTTTTATAGTAAAACAGTTGTTACCTTTGGCTGAAGAGTGGACAGTGTATTAATCAATTTTACCTACTGTCTGCCTTTTTCCTCCCGTAAAACCATAACCATCGAATCATATGAAACAACAATATCTGTCTTTTCACGCTTATTTGTCGCTGTTTTTCAGGGTCCGAAACCAGCACTTTTTATTCCTGAGATTTCCTTCGAGCTGCTGGTCAAACGGCAGATTAAGCGCTTGGAAGAGCCGAGCCTCCGCTGCGTCGAGCTGGTTCACGAGGAGATGCAGCGCATCGTTCAGCACTGCGGAACCAACATCCAAACAGAGATGATCCGTTTTCCGAAGCTATACGAAAAAATCGTTGACGTTGTCACGGCGCTACTGCGTCGCCGTCTACCCGTGACGAATCAAATGGTAAAGCGCTATTTTAATTTTATGTTCGTCCATCCTTTTCTGTCCAGTGGTTCGTATTAAGAGCGAGGGAAAAGCGGATGCGTTTTATGATTTCATGGACATTAACATGAAACACCAAATACCAGCATTTTTTCTGGCAGAAATTAGTTCAACGAGCATCAGTATGCATACTTGTTTAGGCAAGTTGGTGTTCGATCCTCTCAGCTAGACGATGGATCCTTTGATAATAAGGATGAGATATTTAAGTTAAGTCCAACACCAATAGTCATACTAGCGAAAACAAACTTACAAGTAGCGTGGAGGTTGACTACGATGTGAAATCACTCCTTTGTAAGTAGTTTCATTTTCTAATGATCTCCATTGCCTATCGTAACGTCAAAGTTGTTAAAATGATGGCAGTCTTACTGAAATGATCGGAATGGTCAGTGTTACTGTTTCTGTCGGTTCTCCTTTACTGTGCTGTTTTAGCATTTAGCGGTCTAAACGTTTCGTCAATGTTAATGTAGTCGCAACTATTGTGTGCGATTTAATGTGCTACGTTTCCGCTGTTCGTGCTCCTGGTGCAAGGATCATTCAAAAGTACAAAAATACAGCATGTTTCTTGTACTGTTACCCTGCGTGTGTGTTTGCTCCGTAATCATTTGAAGATCGCCAGGTTTCTTAGATATGGCTAAGACTTAAGGTACTGAAATTGGGTAACAGTAATTGAAGAAGGAGCGTAACTTATTCAGAGGCATTAAAATACGGCATTAAGTAAATATTTGGTTTATCCGTTTTCAAGAAATATTTGTGGAAAGAAATTGATTTCACTTCGAGCAGATTGTCGTCTGTGCAGTAAATTTACAGCCTTGTTTAGCTCATGCTGATTATGTACATTACGCATGCATGATATGAATAATGACAGACTTGAAGCAAAAGATGAAGTAAAAGAAATTACGGGTAGAGCACTGTACTTTTCAGTGAGCTGTAAACAAGCAAGAAGCATTTGAAGCATTTTTAATGAAAATGTCGCGGAACGCCATCTACTTGTCTGTTGATACTCTGAAGTTAGTTTTATCAGGTTATCAAGATTCTAATTATGAACTGAAGTGCCACGTAGTGGGAGATGACTATAATTCTGATGCAAGGTGAAAGTATCCTCTCTGTATCATAAATAAGCACTGGTGTGTGAAACATTTTCATTACATAGGAGTAATGGAGCTAGAACAGTGGAGTTGCATACTTTGATTGTATATGATCCGTGTCAGATGACGTTTTCGACTTATATTTGAATAGTCATACGGAAAAGGCAGCAAAAATGGTTTTATTATGCGTAACAAAAATATTGGCGTCTCAATGATAAACGTATTGCTTTATCACTCATTTTATCTTATGTATAAATTTTTTATGCACGTTTACACCTGGTTTTTATTCTCCATCAAATGTGTCAAGGCCAATTGCAGTCGTAAAGCGCATATGTCAGGCAGCATGCCGTATGTCTCACATACATTGGTATAACCATGCCAAAGCACCATGCGCTGTTCCTACTGTTCGCAGGTCAACGACTTGATACCGGTTTCTTCGGCTGATTGAACCGAAGCACAACGGGCTAAATAAATTTCTTGCTTAAGAAATTTAGTAGTTAGAGATTTACGCTGCACATTGAGTTTGAACTCGCACTCCTATATGCACGGCAATCTACAACTAAACTATTTTACCACTACCCGTTATGTTTATTATAAATCGTTATTGTGCTGCTTTTAGTTTACTCTTGCTGCAAATAAATTTGCCCCCATATGGTATTCCCATGTTTTGTGTTGTCCTACAGTTTTGCATTTGCGTTTTTTGGATGGTTTCAAGGAGAGGAAGGTTTTTTGCTGCGGTTTACCAGTCCAAACCAGAGGGTGTTATCTGCTTTTACTATTGACATCCTGTCTCCCTCTTGCGTGTTTCGGTTCTCACATCACAGTTTCGCTGGCTGAAGTGAAGTGTTTATATTCAACCAGTCTGTCTAGCAGAGGTAACCTCGTTTTCTTAATCTGTACAACCATTGACGCTGCCTGTGTCTGAAAGCGAAGATTCGTCTCCGAGGGTCATATCGCAAAAGCAGATTATCGAGCATGTTGAACAATAATGTTAAGCAGTGACGAGGTCTTTTTTGTTTCGTTTGTTCGATGACTGCTTGTGCGATACGGCCCCTCAAAAAACCTGATATGATCCGAAAAATGGGGTAGTTTGTAAAATGTATGATTCGGCGTATTGAACTCAATGTTGACTACATTGATGAAGATTACTGGTGATATTTTTGAAACAAATTATTGCTGAATTCTGGAAATCAGTTATTTAATCGTTTTCAATAATTAAGTCTTAAAATAAATTAATTACCTGATGTTACCTACACCATTGTTCACAGCTGGAAAGATGCTGTTTTTTTGTACCTTATTAGAATGATCTATAATTTGCAGTCGTTCCAGCTGGATTTGTGATCTCAGTGGCCTTCTGTTTTACAAAACTGTAGCAAAGTGTCAAAGACGTTTTTTTGATGCAGACATTTTTACACCTATCGTTTCACGTTTCGGTTCTTATCATGCTTCTGAGTTGGTTGCTGTACTCTTTGTTTGTTTGAGGTGGAAAATCTTGTGGCGATCGAGCTGGCTTATATTAACACAAGGCACCCGGATTTCATTATCGCTCCATTAGGAAAGCTTTTAATGAAAGAATACGAATCAAGGATGGTGATGAACTTCACTGGCGAGAGTTCTAGGACTTTCCCAGCTGGGAGTTCGGTTACGGGGCAGCAGCAAAACGCAGACGAAATGCAAAAAGTATGAAGATGTTTATGTCACTTTCTATAATTTGTCGCAAGTATATGCTATTGCTGATGAAGGTTGTTATTGATTCAGTGCCTATTTGGACTTATTCTTTCTGAATCTCCCTCTTATTCTTTGCAACCAGTGGCAAAGATTCTGTCATAAATAACACATATGATGACTGGTCATTTTTCAGGTTTTTTTGTCAATGATGACGTATTTAAAAATAACACGTTATCAAATTAAGCATTTTGTTTAGTCGACACACTGGTAATTGTATAATAGCGACCTTTGCCATCAGTTGCTTGTTATGCTTATCAATTCTTTTCAGCTCATATTGATTATCATTCGTAAAATTCCCTTGCGTCAGATATCTTCCTGCAGCACCGGTGAATCTTAAAATCTATTTCAATTTACGTTTACATCTTGTGCTGATTTTTAGTCCGCTATCAGGTTAGGCGAGATGAATTGCAGCCGTAATGTGCATGTGTCAGAAATCATGACCGTTTGCCTCTCACCGCATCAAGGCATCATGCTGTCCCTATTCTTCGTACATAAACGACCTCCTACACCTTCAATGGAACAAGCAGTTAATAAGAAAAAATTCACGCTGTGCGCTGCGTTTCAAGCCTCATTCCGGCGTGCAAAGCAGCTTACTAACCAACAGTGACACCCGCCCCCGGTGAGTCGTTCTGTAGCTTCGAAAGCTTGCGGCCTGTGGTATCGAAGGTTCGATCTGGCTAAGTCGCCTTTGCACTGGTTGAAGGTTAGGCCAGGAACATTTTACGTCGCGTTATGACTGCAACTAATAAACAACTATTATACAGTGTCATGCTTCACGCAAGTCAACAGTTGAAACATTCAGAACGTTGGTTGAAGGGTTCGGCTAACATATGCGATCCAATATCTCCTTATTGTTTGGGTGTAGTCAACCGGCTTGCTTCGTCAGCGAAATATTTAAAGACATCTGTTTGGACAACTGCTGACAGCGAAAAGTTAGGGAGAAACCTAAGACTTTGGGAAAAACGGCTGTGTCCGTTGAGCATGAACCTTGACTCTTCAACGTTTATTATTTAATAGAAAAAAAACATAAGTAGCGGAAGTAGCTCAGCTGTTGAAGTTATTATGTAGAAAATTTTCAGATTATACGTAAATGTTTATATCACTATTGCTCTTGTCAGTTTTAGTCTAGCATGTTTCATGGGTATTGTGTTTATTATTTGTGTTGTAAAATGAGGTTTTTTATCAGAGCCGATTGTTTGAGGAAAAGACTGCCGTAAGCGATTCTAATGAAAATAGTCCAGTGAATGATGATGAGGTAAAGGCTTATAAAATTTGAGTGTTTGTTGAGATGTTGTGAACGTCGTTTTTCATCTCACAGGACTCCGGCGTTCAGAGACCAACGGTGTCCGGTGTGCTGTCGCAGTGGATCTTGGGTCGAGGTAGAAGAGGAGATATTTACGACGCTTCAAACGCGGAATCGACGACTGTTCTGACACCTGTTTCAGGTCGATCGATGAACCTCCTTCCGGTGGTGCCCGTTAACACACCCGATCGCAAATTGACCTTGAAGGAACGCACCGACTGCCAGTTAATAGGTCTGCCTGTCGTGGCCGACGGTTGTCGGTTATTGATTTACTTCAGTAAACTTAGACTGTTTGCAGAATGCTTGATTCGGTCTTATTTCGAAATCGTCAGGAAAAATATCCAGGACGCCGTTCCCAAAACGATCATGCACTTCCTAGTTAATTTTGTGAGGGTACGCATAAAAACGTCATTGTTTTTAGTTTTGCTTTTCGTGTGCCTTGATACCGTGTCTTTGTTGTCGTTCAGGACAATCTGCAGAGCGAGTTAGTGCGGCAGTTGTACAGGCACGAAATGTTGGAGGAACTGCTTGTCGAATCTGGCCAGGTAGCACTGAGGCGAAAAGAAGCGGCTGAAATGTTGCAGGCGCTAAAGAAGGCCAGTCAAATTATCAGTGAGGTTCGAGAGGTGCATATGTGGTGATATGCTTCGAAGTGGCATGCAGCATCGACGTTCAGTTCACGTGATTTATGACACCATTTTGGCAATGTGTTCATCTGGCAAGAGCGACGTTTCTCTTTCTTGTTTCCCTTCGTCACCAATCTTTGCTTTGGTGATCATCGATGTTGCCTGACGCAAGATATTGTGTACGCGCTGACCGTTATGATTTTGTGTGATACTTATGCCAGAGTATCCATCATCGAGACGTGGTAATAACCGCGTAACTACAGCTTCATCGTTTTGCCAGCGATTTTCCTGCTTTCTACATGTTCTGTTGATATGTAAAACTATTTGTAAATTTTTCACTGTAGTTCGATGTTTGGTTTTTTATTTTTGCGTGAAATGTAATACGTACGCACGTTGTTTTTCTTTTGTGCTGGAGCTTGCTAATGCTTATGTTCCAGCGGGTAGTCATTCGCGTATTAGGTACTTACCTGTTTGGCCCAGCAGATTAATGTGGCAAGTTGTCGTAACAGTTCCCTTAATAATGTTAGTTGACTTTATTCATTCGG